TCCTGCCCCGCTGGAGCTCGTACCCCTCCATCCACCTACCCTACCACATGTGCCGCAATTAGGCGGCATTTTGACGCCCCAGCTTGTTGTCAGATTTTTGGAGCCCGGCGTTGTTGGATATATAATCAGATTTTGGTTTTTTTTTGCTGTTGGATTTTGTTCATGCTGTGCAGTTTAGCATTTTATGATTTTTTAATTTTATGTTGATGAGCCTCATTGCTTGCATATTTGATTAAAACTTTTTGTTGTTTTATTCATTTTATTTTATTATTTGTTTTGTGTTGTTTTGGTTTTATTCTTGTTCGCCTGTTGTTTTCCTGAACTTCAGCTTGTTTTTATCTTCATCTGATTCGATTAAATTGTGTTTTTTTATTCGTTATATTTCTAAGTTTTGACAGTATATATCAAGATTCTTAGCGGTCACTGCGCAGCTGGTGAGCAGGTCATAAATGGAACCAGCTCGAACTTGGTTTAGGTTAGGTTATGGTTCTTTTGTGGTTTATTGTTAAACAAAAGTTATGAAGATCTTTTCACAAAAGCAACATAAGTCAACAACGCGATAGTATAATTATTTATTATGTTTTCCTAATATTTTTCAAGACATTTGAGGTTATCCTTTTGCATGTGCCACAACTTATCGATAAACTTATCAAACAAGTGCAGCCAACTTTAAGCTGTTTGCAGACACTGCTTATACCGATTACATTTAGATAGCATGAATGGATTACTTAGAGTATAATAATATAACAACTTTTCTTTTATTGTATGAATTAGTCTTTTCTTCATTTTAATAAGTATGAAAACTCGTTTATAATAGCTGACCAAGAGTTAATGTATTCGTATACCATAACTTTCGCCTTTAAGAACCCTCTCAAGATCACACTGAACGCCCAAAAGCACACACACATATATATACACACACACCCACACCAACAACAACCGCCTCCATAGCCCATAACCATAAGCCTAACGAGTCTGAAATCAGTCTAATGTGATAGCATCTAACAATTAGAAGGCCTTCAGGTCTTTGGGCTAATGTTTTATTTTGCCATATTTACGATGATGCGTTTTAAGTGCACAGATCTTGATATCGATAACAGGCGACGCCCATTCTAAAAACCCAAAAATGTTGGGGAAAAAAATAAAAACATAAATTAAAGACTCAGACTCCAAAAAAAAAAAATTCCTCACTGTGACTAATAACTTAATTAGAAACCCAACAGAAGATAAAAAAAAAATATAAAATAACAAAAACAACTTGAAAACTTAATAAACAGCGGCAAAAATGCGGACCGATCGTAGCTTTTTATGGAGTGAAAAACAAACCGAACCGAACCGAAAAATCTTTAAAATATCAACGATCGATGGCCATAAAAATTCCAAGCATAAATGCATTTTATGTGATTTTGTCGTGAAAACTTTGAAGCCAAAAACGACCAAGTTTTATTTCTGTAACATCGTGAGGCATTAAAAATAAACATTTCATTTCGTAAATGCAGGCTATGGGCAGGTTTTTCTTTTCTTTTCTTTTTTTTTGGCAATTGTTAAAGTGAAGGTGGGGCATAACACATCGTGTGAGATTTGGGCTGAAAGTGAACGTACAAAGGGAATTGTTTGCTATTTAAAGTTGGTAAAAAACAAAAATTAGAAAGAATTACCGAAAAAATGCAAGTCAAGAGTTATACTCTACTAAGTAATAATTAATTTTAAAAAAGAAAGAATCGCGAAAAGAGTACAAAGTTAATAAGTCCAAGTAATAATTAATTAAAATAAATAAATATTAAATAACAAAATAAATACAAATAATAATATAGATATAATTCTATCTGTCTAAAAACTATTCAGGAAAAACGTAAAAGTTTAAAAGATATGTTTAAACTGTGTTCAATTTTGTTTGGCTTTATAATTTTATTTATTTGTATTGAAATATTGTCTGCACTAGTGCAACCCTAACATAATACATATCGTTGAATCCGTAACAGAATACAACTGCTAATAACAGAAGCTTTATGTTAATCTTGTTCTCTTCTGTATAATCTACGAAACTGAACCGACATTTTTTTCACTACACCAGCCTTTTGCTGTGCGTTTATTGGGGTGCCTTTAGACTATATCCAACGATTATTATAAATGATATGTAAATAAATTCTTAATTTAATTAATTTAAAATTTTTAGAATAAAGTTTTTACATAGATTAAAGTAAAATAGATTTATTTGAAGTATTTTAAAAGAGTTTTTTGTATTGTATTTTTTAGATTTTCTAATATATATTAATGTCGATGCAATGTCGAAATAATTCTGTAGGGTTTGCATTTAATATATCAAAACAAATATATAATAAATAGGTTTTATATAATTAATAAATATTTTGGAATAAATCAAATTCTTCCCAAGCAAGAATCTTAAGCTACCTAACTGTAACTTTGACTGCTTGAACATATGTACTTCACATAAATTCTCGATTAGTTCTAGAACAATCTTTTTCTGTATATCTATATCATATGTATATATCTACATCATAAATACTATTATCTATTACAGATAAATTATATCTATGCAGGAGTCGTAAGCTTTACATATTTCACACAAATTCTCACTCAGTTCTAGAACAATCTATAGATTATAATAGAAATATTATCTATTATGGTAAATGTTCAGCACCACCAGATTCCACCTGCACAATAACTGCGCCGTTTCCAATGTGCAGCCTCCCTTTGCCGCCCATCTGCCCCTTCCAGCTGCCACTTGTCATGATAACTAGCACAATTGCTCATCAGCAACGACTCCGTGCGAATGTGTAACCACTGAATACCCACTGAGAATCCACTGGAAATGCACAAGGTAAACAATGCAAAATAGCTTGCTTGGAGCAGGCTTGGAGAGGACCAAGCAACAGCCTCAACTCCAGCTGCAGCCTCAACTTCAAGCTCCAAGCAAAATAAACAAAAGCAGGCACATGCGGCAAGTGGCATGGTGGCAAGTGCCAGTTGGTGGTGCATGGGTTGGTGGTGTTGGTGCAGTGGCATGCACTCACAAGTGCAAACTTCAGAGTACTCTCTCTCTCTCTCTCTTTCTCTCTCTCTCTGGCATGTGTCGCTAAACTAATGAAATCAATAAGTTATGCGAACGCGCCATGAATCACAACAATAACAATAACAACAAAAGGCCCAAGCATCGAGTTGCCATCGAGAAGGAGTCACCAACTGGTTGGCCCCAAAGGCAGGCCAAGTGCCTGCCGCAGCGGCTGCTGCTGCCTCTGCTGCTGCCAGTGGCCTGGCCAAAAGGTGTGAAGCACAAAAGTCACTCAAGCGCACTGGCCCTGGGCCCTGGGCCCTGTCGGGCTTATGAAATATGAGAGCCCAGCTCCAGCCTACGTACCCCGCCGGCCAACTTTTAGCGGGCGTCTTTTGCCAAGAATTTCTGTGCATAAATTTAATTACTGGCAGACGACGTTGCAGTCGCAGTCACCGTCGCAGTCGCTGTGGCAGTCAGCGTTTCTGTTGAAGCTGAAGCTGAACCCAGTCACCTATCAATCTAACTCGAGTGGCTTTTCCCCAGCTACATTCCGCTTTTCTTTGGCTGCGCTCAAGTGCTTTACTTATTAGTGACTTTTGTGCCTGCTCGCAAGTTCAATAGCCCTGTGGCTGACGACGACCACGACGACGACGACAACGGGGCGTGGCCTTAGATACATTGTTAGTTTATAATTAGTGGAGAGAGCTAGAGAGAGAGGGCAACGGGGGGAGAGTGTCGGAGAGAGATAGCAGCAGCTATCTCCATATGTACTTGAGTTTGGTTTTAATGCATTTCCCCCATTTTACTTTGCCCGATTTAATCATGGACTGCAGCTGCAGCAGTCGGTTCTTCTTTTAAAATTAGAACGCAGCACACCTTGAATTTCCTTCGGCTTGTTAACTGTTAAGCAAATATTAAACACGGCGCAGATGGCAAACATCTTTCAAATATCTCTTTCTCTTTTCCTCTCTCTCTCTGAATATCTAAGACTTCTTCTTTCCACAGTATTTCCAGTTTTCATTAACAGCCTATCAAAAGCTTAAGATGCGTTGGCCTTAGCGAGATTTGACTGTACGTTTTGAGCACTTTTTTGCATTAAATATGTGTACTAGCGAGTATTACCCGGCCTTGCCCGTGGAAACTTTTGGCGCATCAACTTTTAAATATTACCTTTCCACCAAGTTTACGCCCGTGGTAAATTGAAATCCACCTGTACCATCTTGATCTCCACTTCTAGTTAAAAATATGTTTAAAGTTCATCGAATAAAGAACCAAATGTTGCAATCAGAGGTTTCCGCCCTAGTTAGTCTTGTGGTAAAAATCTTAAGGCCCAATTTAAAAAGTTTCGTTTATTAAGCTTTTGACCCTCATTTTCCATTGAATAGTGGTGAACCTTGTAAAGGCGTGTCAAAAAAATTCTGATAAAGATCTTTGAAAATGATTTTGAAACCGATAATAAACCAAAGGTGGAGTTAGGTTATTTCGCCAAATTTTTTTATTTTTTTGGAGACTTAAACTTAAACTGGATACTTTTATGGACATAAAACTTCGGTCCTAAAACCTTTCACCCGCTCTTATCATCTAGGAGGGGCGGATTTTGCGAAAAGTGTGGAACACGCCTTAAATTAATTATAAAAAAATTTGTATAATTTTAAAATAATTTTGTTGTTTACTTTTTACATTGTGCAAACGTATTTGGACACGTGCGGCATTGGAGGGCGTGTCTAAAAAAATCCACTGATTAAAGTACAAGCTAATACGACGTTTAGCTTCCGATTACATATTAAAATTATTTGCGCCTTTCAAACCCACCTTTCCCTTTAGATCGCTTAGATCGGCTTGCTTTGACACGCTTAATCACGGCACGTCCGTGTTTGCATTTAATTAAAAAATGTTTTTGCCAGCCAAATATTTACATCAATTAAAAGATCCACACGCACATACACAGGTACTCAAACTGCTTTTATTTTTCTTCTTTTTACAGAAAATATAACGATAGTCGGCCTCCCGGACTATGTGAACAACGAATTCAAAATAGCACTGTTCGCAAAAGAAACGCAAAGATATTTGTGTTTCAACGACAACTGGAGATTAGTTGGCATGGTAAGTTACCTTGAGATCTCTTGAGTCTAGCAGCGAGTGACTTCATAGCTACTCGCATTTACTAAGTTGAGCAAATAAACGTAAGGAATTCAAGTCAAGTGCTTAATGATGATATTTTAAATGCCGTCAGGTTTATGACAAATCGTTGGCATTCAAATCTTAATTAAACGAGAAACTAAAGAAATACTTACTTTAATTTATGTTAGCTAATTTTTTTTGTAAGATTATTTTATGCATTGAGGTTGGGAACGTTTTTCATATAAGAGAATCTAAGAAATGTTCAGGCGCAGCCAACTTAACGACCACGCAAAAACGTTTGGTGTTGCCAGATCGCTTGAAAAGTATATATTTATTTTAAATAGAATATTTTAACTTTCCAAGCAGGCCTTAGAAAAGTTCAGGTGCAGCCAACTTAACGATTATGCAAAAACATTTGGTGCTCCTGATCGTTTGAAAAGTATTTTTGTTAAAAAATACAATATTTGAGCTTTCCAAGCAGTCTTTAGTCAAGCTTACAATTTGATACATAGTAGACAGGCACAATAATTGATTTAATTAAAAATTTAATTTTAAAAATGTCAGAACTTCTGAGGGTTTCTACACTTGCAGAACCAATAGTTTCATATCTGCCTACTTCTATATATGCTGGATGATATCAGAAGACATAAAGTTTACTCCAAAAATATATTAAACATTGCATTAGAGCTCATTTTCTGCAGGCATACAGTCTATTCCAAGTTAAAGAAAATCCATATCAAACATTGCATTATAGCTCACATTCTGCCCAAATACTCTAACAAAATGTGGGTTAATAGAACAGATAGCTTATAAAAAGTGTAAATGTTGATAGTAACTGAATGCACATAAAGTCGAGGGAATCCCGCTTTTGATAATGCCCATAAATAAATGAATTCAACTGAGTTCACATTATTTGATAGGCTTTATGGCTTCCTATGCGATATAAAAAGAAAATTGTAAAATGTGGTCTGCATTTCCCAGTACTTGCATCTTTATGGCAGCACACACACAATCGCACACACGCACACACAGAGACAAAGGCAAACTATAATGATATGTACTTAAAGCCAAGGCCCCGAACGGGCGCCTTGTAACAAATTTGATTACATTGCAATGCATTTCATTGGATTGGATTGCATTGTACTTGAAACGCCGCCGCTTTATGCAAACTAACTGTACAAACACTATAATTTATGGCATGTAGCACATAATGGTTTTATGCAAACGAGCGATTATAACGACAATGGCGATACTTGAACGATTTGGCCAAATTGCATAAATTGCCAACTCAGCGACAGGGCGCTAAGCGCCAGCTCAGACACTACCAGAGTAAATAATTTTACCATTTTTTTTTCGCATCGCATACCCTGTACAAATTAAGGTGAGAAGGGTTAGACAGTTGTGAGAAAGGCATTTGTGATCTTAGAAAATATATATAAACGTTTTTCGGCATCTATGCTTTAAACTGCGATCCTCGAGCGCGATTAACGTCATATTCCAGAAGACTTCTGATAAGCATAATAGATAATTCTACTCCGGTATATATAGTTATTAATTATACTCTCAACTATTAAGCATATAGTCTTAGCTTGTATTCACTTTTGTACTTGGCGACTCGAATCGTACTTTACACGACAGCGCCCCTCGGTTCAATGGTGGGATGCAGTACATTTCATCGGGATTTACCCAAAATTGAACAGAAATGAACTACCTGTCTATATCTCATTAATCTCAGAGCTAATAACAGCTTGAGGCAACAAATTTTCCTTGCAGCCTCCCACATCTGCAAAGCTCAAATATATGACAGATTCTCACTATTCTTTACACTGCTGCGCACTGTGATTCACACACAAAAGTTATTCAATAAAGTAAACTCCAACAATTTGTAGACGCAGCTTAAACCTTTTTTTTAAGCTAACTACAGGGCATCTGTCAGTCAAGCACAATTGTTTGGCAACCCATGACTGGAATGTTATTATTTTTTTGTCATAGTGAAAACCTGTTGCGGTTGCACCAATTCTGTCATGAAAAACGCGCGACAACAGAAAATAAAATATTTATTACAATATTGAAATTTCATATGCAATTACAGCCACATAAACATAAATATAATAACTGCTTATAACTCTGGGGCGAGACAACAAATTGCCCACAAAAGAAAACTGGCACACAAATGTGTGCATTTTTTTGTTGTGCTTTTTATTTACGCGGCGTATGCTTGATATTTGCATACAAAAAGTGCAAAAATGGTGTATCAAAAATTGAAACTGTTTCCATGCTTAGCTTCCAATTGCAACTGTTCTCGAGCTGCAGAGAAAATGTAACCCAAGTGCATTTGTTTTTGAGAGACATTGTCACAATTTCTGGGCAGCTAGATAATTTCAATGTCAATCAAATAGGCAAACACACACATACTCCAAAGAGTCGAGTGCCTCGCATAGATTTGTGATCATAAAAATCATTGAAGCAAACAATTCATATATATATACATGACATTTGATAGATATATCTAATCAATCAATCGAATGACGCGGCATTTTATGCTGTAATTGCAAAAATATTTCAATGTCCTTTCATAGCTCTCAATATGAATTGTACAGTTAGTTAGCCAAAGCCGCAATCGAGCTATGCAAACAATAACATTTATATTTATATACTGCGAATACAATAGAACTCGGCTATATCTGTGCATATCTCTAAGGTCAAAACTTGCACTTGTCGTTTTATTGCTTTCGATTATGATCGCAAAATCCCAACTTGAATTCATGTGTGCAAATACTCGTAACTGTGATTTCACACTCTTTATAAAGTCTTATAAAACATTTATTAACAGTTTGAACAGTTTTGCTTGAAGGTTAATGTCTGTGACATATGATTGGGTTGAGGTTACAAATTGTTTGATAAGGTTAGAGCGAATCACTTTGGCGTGAAGTGGACCCAGCATAGCTAAGGCATGCCGCAGAATTATAGTTTTTGAATATTTATAAACTATAGTGTGTAGAAAATGAAATCATAATTGTTTAATCAGTTATTACTGAATAAATTATTATTTTAATTATATACAATAAAACATAAATATAATTTTATTTCTATTTTTTCAACCAATTAAAAACAAGTAAAGCAATTCTAAATAATTTGAAGAATAATTTATTAAATTAAAAAACAAAGTTATTTTTCCAACAGTTTAATTTAACATCATATAATACCCTTGTAGACATTTCCCTTTTGCAGATATGTGAGAATAGCTCAAAAATGCTGAGTTTATAGAAATATCTTAGAAAACAGAATATTTTGCTATATAAGATCTATTCCACCGATCTTTCCTTTAGCAGCTATATGATATAGTGGTCCGATATTGAAAATATTTTGCATATAAAAAAGGTTTACATATCAGTATAAAATTTTCCACTGATCGTTTCTATCGCAGCTATATGATATAGTTATTCGATGTCAATTAGATTTTGCATACATATAGGGGGCATAATAAAACTTATAAATGCCAATTTTGGTAAGATATCTTGATAAAGAGAAAAGTTTTCCATACAAGCACTTAATTTTCGACCCATCGTTTCTAGGGCAGCTATATGCCTGCTGCAACAGAAAAGCAGACCTTCGCAAAGTTTTGAAGACATAGAAACCGACAGACGTACAGAAGGAAGGACAGACGGATAGACGGACATGTATTTATCAACTCGGCTGCTAATGCTGATCTAGAATATATATACTTTGTAGGGTCGGAGATGTCTCCTTCTATGCATTACGCTTTTCATGACAAAATTGTAATACCCTCAGCAAGGGTATACAAATAAGAATTTTAAAATAATTTGAAAAGAATCAAGATAAAAAAGGTTTAAAAAATATATATATAAATATTTAAAAATACTTATTTTATACAAATGATATTATAATATAATATGATATTAATGAGGAAAGAAAAGGTTTTAAGGCGTTTAAATATATATACTATATTGATTTGCATTCAAATAAGAAAACAGAAAACGAGCAGGTAAAAAAACCAAATTGAAAAGGTTTTTTAATAATAAATAGAATATGTTGACATTCGTGATATGCCAGCCTTAATGTTCTTCTCACGCAATTAGTCAAGTGCTCGAAAAAAAGAAATATAAAACAACTTTTGAATAATTAATAAAAATGAGTTAGATCACACTTGAGGCAGAATCAAGATAAAACTGAACAATACGAGAGAACCAAGTAGCGCCAATTGACAAACAATAACAAAACGATGTGTTGGCTATCGAAGCAGCCGCCTCGCAGCGGCCAGTTGTGAGATTTTTGAGTGGCCGCTGAGAAGCCGCTCAAAAATAGCAATTAAATGCTATAAATACTATGGTTAGACGTTCGCCAAAATGTAAAGTGGCTCGACTAAATATGGAATAATTGCTTATCTGCCTCATCTGCAACACTTTATATCGAAAAGCAAACCAAATGGCAGAGATTGGGCAGGCTGACACATAGGTGTTGCCAGCGACAACAGCAGCAACAGCAGCAACAACAGCAGCAGCCGCGACAGCAGCAACAATCAAGCCGCGTTTCATTTGGGCTGTCATTTTGGTATTTCAAGTGTTTTATAAATAAACACACTCTAGCTTCATAGTTGTTGTTGTTGTTGTTGCTGTTGCTATTGTTGCTGCTGTCAATGTTGCCGCTGCTTAACCTCTCACTTGCAAGCTGCTTGTCAAAATATTGTCGACAAGTTAAAATAGCAGCCAGGAAATGCCGCTCATAAATTGCAGTGTCAAGTGTAGGGAAGTTAACTGATGATCTTACTCTATCTAATACCCTCTCTTTCTCTCTCTCTCTCTCTCTCTCGTTTTTTCTCTCTGCAGAAGGAACTGCGCGCTACCTGCTACTTCAACGAGACCATCGTGCACGGTTATTTCGTGTTCCGTTCCGTAGTCGATCTGAAGCGACGTGTCGGGTTCACGCACCGAGGTAAGCCTGTGGGGCCCAAGAAGAGCGTCAACGATGCCTGCTACATGTTCAATAAGATCGATGCCGAGCAGTTTTTCCATCAGCACACGTTACCAAAATGGCGCGAGACGGCCGCAATGATGGCCAACAGCAGCAGCAGCAATCACAGCGGCAGCAGCAATCACAGCAGCAACTACCGCAAAGTCTCGCGCAACAAAAACAATCGCCACAAATCGAATAACCAAAATCAAAAGTTGCAAGAGCAACAAGCGCATCATGGCCATAATAGTAGTAGTAGTCTAAGTAGCACTAACAAACAAAAACAACAACAATTAGCATTAGTACGAAAACAACAACAGCAACAGCAACGGCAGCAACATCAGGTGCGACATCATCATAATGATCCCTCAATGCTGGCGCGGCGACAGCAGCGACGCAAACAGCAGCAACAGCAACAACGAGTCACAGCTAGTCCAACGAAACAAACAACTGCCAAAAGTGCAAGAACAACAACAGCAACAGCAACAACAGCAGCAACAACCAAAACGTCGACAACAACACTTGCCAGCAAACGCAAGGGCAGACGAAGAAAGGCGCGCAAGCAAAAGCAGCAGCAACAACAGCAGCAACAACATCATCCACAGGAGCTGCAACAATTGCAGTTGCTCTCCACAGCAACAACACTCGATGGCAGCACGGACGATACGTTCGCCGGCAGCAGCAGCAGCAGTAGCAGCAGCTTTTCCACAGGCTACGACGATGCCTACAGCAGCAGCAGCAGCAGCGAGCCCTGGTCCACTTGGTTCGCCACGCCCACAGCTACAATTGATAGCTTTACACCAGATGCGAGCAGCAGCAGCACAAGCGCCAGCAACATGCTGCTAACAACAACAGCAGAAGACAGTATTAAACCGTACAGCAGCAGCAGCAACTATGATGCCTGGTCCACATTTATCACAGAGCTGGAAACCGAAGCATCAGAAGCAACAACAACAAAATCAGCAGCAGCAGGAACAACAACAACAACAAGCAGCGGCAATGACACCGAATTGTTACAGTACGAGGCGGAGCTGGTTGAAGATGAAGAAAATCAGCTGCAGACCACGGCTAACTATGAAACCAAAGTAACAGCAACAGCAACAGCAGCAGCTGCAACAGCAACTAGCAGCCAAGTGGCTAAAACTACCTCGACAACAGCAGCAACAACAACAGCTACAACCACAGCAACAGCAGCGGCAGCAGCCGGCACACAATTGGTGCTGGAACAGACGCCGCTGGCAGCAACACTGGCCACGCTAATGTACAACAAATGGCACACAACGCAACAGCATGGGGCAGAGGCAGCTGCAAGCAACACGACAGCAACAGCAGCAGCAGCAACTGGAGCAACAGCAGCGGCAACAGCGACTGATTTGGCGCAGAGCACGCATAAGCTCAGCAGGCATCGCAACAGCAACGGCAGCCCTAACGAGCAGCAGCAACAGTTGCTGCGGGACAACAACACCAAGCAGCAGCAACAACAGCTACACAAACTTATGCGCCCGGCAACAGTTGATACCACAGCCAGCACGCGATTGCTAACGCCGCCAGCAACAGCAGCCAGTAGTGCAGCAGCAGCGAGCACGGTAACAGCAACGGCGGCAGCAGCAGCAGCTGTTGGTGTTGTTACCACACCGCAGCAACATATTGCAGACAAGCTATTCAGTGTTTACAAGAACATCAACAGCAATCTGAACAACATGCTAACCGAGACGGCACCAACAGCGACAACAACAACAGCTGCTACGACAGCAGCAACAACAACCACAAAGAAATCGCTACGCAAATCTACACAAAAGCTACTAGCCACGCCCTATCATCAGCTGACCTATGTGCGCAATGAGGCGGGCGACATAGACATTGATAATCTGGACAATATTAGCGTATATCCCGATGTCTTCGAGGATATCTTAAATGACAACGACAACAGCAGCAACAGTACTAACAACAGCAGCAGCAGCAGCAATCCGAGCAGCAGCAATCCGAGCAGCAGCAACAGTCGTCTGACCTTTGTCAGTGGCTTTCTGGCCACTTCGCCCACATCCGTGTTGCCCGAATCCATACGCATAGCCAAGATCAAGATCAACAATGAGCGCCGTCGACTGCAGCAGCGCGGTCAGCGGCGACTGCGCAATTTCGCGTAGTAAACGAAGCAGCAGCTGGTCAGCGGGGTCAGGGTCAGGATCAGGATCAGGTTTAGGTTCAGGGTCAGGGTCAGGGTCAGGGTCGGGGGTTTTGACAATCGGTAAATGGCAGCACGGTTTGCGGGCGCAACAAGTTGGCTTTGACAATTTAGTCGAGTTATATATACAAACATATTTATATATATACCTATACTCAGTACAGTTTTTCGATGAGTTTTAATTTAAACGGCAAAGAATTTATACGTGCAAAAGCAAATGATTGTAAACAAGTGAAGGTAAATTCAAGCAAAAATTATGCATTAAACAAATATATATAAATATATATATATATATACATTGATAGATATACTATATAATGAACTGATACATATACATACACTGCATATATAGTACATATATATATATATAGTTACTTATATATATGTCGAGTTGCTTAGGCCGCAACCTAGGGCGCACTTATTGTTGCCTCAACTCAGTCAGAACTTTGCAACACTTGGCCACACCGACAGACACCTACATACACATACACACACACACACACGCCTAAAAGCACACAAGCAAAAAAAGAATATACTCAGGCCACAATTTTAATCTAAATTTAATGCCGAGGCCTTTGCTAAAGTTTGCCCAATTACCGGTAATTACAATAACAATTACTGAAGTAATGCTTATTTAAATATATAATTATAATTAATTGTATTTACCATTGCCCAAAATACTAGAAATCATTTTTTATGGCAACCGTATGAAAATAAACAGATATTTATAATTTAATATTACAATGACATTTACTTCACGTAATTGTTTAAAATTGTTTTGTTTTGTTACTTAAATGAATAAAGCAATTTTACTGGTAATTAGAGCTCTGCTTATTACTAAACTATCTATATAAAAATATATCTTAAAGCTGCACTCGACTGGCCTGTCATAACTCGAACACACACAGCTCTTAAAACAAAAGTCAAGCAAAACAGTTCCATGGAAGAACTTGCAGAACTGCTACATAGTTATAAATGAAAGACAATAAGATTTTTATTTACGAGTATGTGCTATATAACTAACAAAAGCAAAAACAAAAAATAACTAAAATTGTTAAAAGCAAGTTGCAAAAATTAAAAAAACAAAACTAAAATCAAATGGTGTCAGCGAAAAGAAAAACTAAAAACTTAATAAATAAATGTTTAGACGCACTGAATGTAACGCAAAATAGCAACTTTGGTTTACTAAATCAATTAAATTTATTAGCAATGAGATTACAAAATATATAAAAAATCTATAAAAAAAAAAACAAAGAAAAACTAAAACAAAAACAATTAAGTATATACTTATGTACGCATATATATTTTCAAAATTTTATAATGAAGCGCAAACAAAATTGCAAATTAGTAAACAAATTTAATGAAAATGTTTTTTAAATTCATACGCAAGCAAAGTAAAATAAAACAAATTGACAACAAATTCGCACAGCAAGACACTTCCAAAAAACAAAAACAAAATGATGAAAAAAAAAACCAATTAAGAAACTAAAGTTTAAATTTTAATAGGCACAAGTAAATAAAATTGGGGCAATTCAAATATGAAAAATAAATAGAAATAAACCGAATTTTAAAAACAAATAGCTAAACGCATATAATTGTTGCATTGCTCAACACTGCTGAAAACAATTTACAGTGTTGCACAATGTTCAGCTGATTTAGAGCAAAGCATAATAAAAATACTACAAAATATTTTGAAGCATAGCAAGAAATTGAAAAAGAATAAATTAATTTTGAAAACTTTGAGCTAAAGGCAACTTAGTAAAAGTCAAGAACTAGTTTATAAAGAAATGCAAAACAAAAAAAATTAAAAATTTTAAATACCTTTAATAAAAAGAAAAAAACAAATGCTACAAAACAATAAGCATATGAAACGTATGGTATATATACGGCGACAAACACCAAAATTCACACTGAATAAACGTTATATTTATTAATTAAATATGTAACTAAATAAATGTAAAATCAAACAAGAAATCGAAACCAACTGCTGCTTTTCTACATATATATATAAATATATATATATATATACATAAATATAAACAATAATTGTTTCTCGTATATTTATATTAATATATTATTAACATAATGAAATACAAAACGTAAATAGTTCAAACAAATTAGCAAACCAAATACATAAACAAAATTTGAAAAACAAATAACAAAAATACAAGTTCAATTAACGAAAAGGCAATTGAAAAAAATTACTGAAAAAAAACAAACGCGTCAAGTTTATATGTAGCAATATGTATGAATGTAAATTAAAGCAAATTAATAACAAGAGCAAAAGGTAATGCAACAAAATGCTTAGGTGAAAAATTTAATTAGTGTGTACTTAAGAAGAAGATTAAAACGAAACAAAGTAAAACCTTTAAAACAATTGAAACATTTATGATTACTTAAATAGACACTGATGACAGCCATAAACAAATTGAACTACAAGCCACACACAGTAAGGAAAAAAATGCAAATATAAAATTAAAAATCAAAGCAGATAAAAATTCAAATAAATACACAAAAAAAAAATCAAATTGAACTACTGTACTTATATGCGCGTTGCTGTAATATAACATTTTATGTTAAACAAAAACGAATATTAAAAAAATACTAAAAAAAAAAAAACGAAAAACGAAAAACAAAACACGAAAAAAAACGAAAATGCAAATCTTTATTATATATATCATTCGTACTACTCTTACGGCTATATTTATTTAAAAAAAAGGAAAGAAAAACCCTCGGCCAGCCCAGTCGAAGCTTACGGCCAGGCAAGCGCTGCTCATTTGTCATTTGTAAATTCATTTGCGCCAATACTATTATTTTTTTTTTTATTATTTCACACTATTACTAATTAATGAATTAATTTTAACATTTAATTTTAATGCGTGTAATTTAGTTGCCCCGTTTGCCGCCATTTTGCATTTTGCATTGTAAATTGTAATTTGTTTACTTCTAAGCCGCAGCATACTTGTAATTATTTATGTATAAAACACTCACACACACACACACAACTACACAGTCACACACACACACACTCACATCTCTACTCTCTCCTTAAAACTACCTACTTACCCTATCTCTATACTCTTATTCTTATAAACGAAACAAAAAAAACGCCTATTTAATTGCATTTCTTTGTATTTAAACGAGTAACGCGAATAATAAATAAATAAAAGCGTCAAAAATCGATATTAATCACATTTTTTTCTTTTTATTGCATTCGTTTTTATTTTTATTTCAGTTATTTTATTAATTTATAACATCTCTCTTAGTTTTCAAACGTGTGCAGAGAAATCGTATAAATAAAAACTATATATAAATTAAAAGAAGCAAATGTTTTCAATTAGTTTTATTTGCTTGAATTTGAAATTCAAAAAAATGGTAATACACAAGGTAAAAGACATTCTCGAGAGTTGCAAAACGTCTGACTCTGGTGGTGCAACGCCATGCCTATCAACCACTCAGTTGACCCATAGTGGTACAACGTCGTGCATTTTGCTCATTCCTCTGATCCCTGGTGGTGCAATGTCGTGCCTATTTGTCACCCGCCTGCAAGACCGACACCCAGGGCCGCTAAACTCTCAAGAAATCGACCCACTACCCCGAGAGCAGGTGTACATGTCTACATACATACAAATAAACCTATAGTCACATTAAGAATAAAGCCTCTAAATATAGACTCTTGCAACAGGTTAATTCTTGTCAATCCTTGCAAACAGTTCAATTCAAAACTCTGTAGACTAAAGACACTTGTAATGATAATGTGAAGGGCATTTGTTTTTAGAACAGATTGCCATAATAACTTACTTTCCTTAATAGCTAATTCTCATAGGCAGCTTCCGCCATTTGCTCTACCTATTACTAAAAACAATATCGAAATGGCAATTATCATTATCATTTCCGTTGCCAACATAGAGTATTACATGCCAAAGTCCCACACATACCGAAGGGATCCTCTAAATAGCCGCCTGAGCATGTTAAACAGACGATTCTATGGCTCTATAGAGAATGCCAGGTGGTCGCCCAAGGCCAGTGACAAATTGTGGACCAGGCGACAATGCGAAGAAGTTGTAGCTGGAGTTGAAGCTGTTGTCTGGATGACCACCACCAGCGCTGGCTCCATGACAAATGACATGTGCTGACATTTGACATTGTTGCAGGAGTCGGGGATTAACATGTAATTGTGGGCGGGGTGTAACTACCAGGATAGTGGTATAGCCAGTAAAAGTGTTAAGCCAAATATGCGTTTGTCCCAGCCAGGCCACAAGAGCACAGACACACAGGCACAGGCACAGACACGGGCTCAGGTTCTGTCTGCTGGCTGCTGCCACTTGCCAGCCGACCATGGATGAAGCGAGTGAAGTGCAGACGTTGGCTGGGGACCACACAAGTGCCTGCAGTCCACCACGAAGTGGTCGCAAAGCCAACTCGGTGGCTGCTTTGCATAAATGTCCCAGTCAGTATTTGCCTCTGGGCTGCTGGGCTCGTATCTCAGGCAGCCCTCTTCTCGCCCCCCCCCCCTCCGCCTCTTTATACTGCCCTGCTCTGCTCTTTTTCAAGATTCAGTTATCAACGTTGTCCCCGTGTGCTGCTTGTTTAATTAAAAAATTAAGTTCCAAATCCCCGCAGACCATTAAAAAGATTTTTATTTATACCTTTTAATTTCATCAATCGTTGCGACGGCAGGTGCCGTCCCAGGTAACGTGTCTCGTGTCTGGCCATGGAGTCTCGCATATTTTTTAGTAGTTGTTTCTCTTTTCTTTTTTTGTTTTCAGCTTTTAACAGGAAACAATTTCATTTGCGAGCAAAAATTCTTTTCAAATCTGCCGCCGTTAAGCAAAAAGAAAACATGCCAAGGAATAATAATAATAAAAAAAAAAAGGAAACAAAAATAAAAAATGAGAGAAAAAACTCTTTACTGACTGAGAAAAACCAATTGCTGTTACAACTCTGCGCAGGGTATAATAA